ATCACCAAGGCCATATTTTCCAACTACTGATCCTTCCTCTTTGCTCCCAACCTTTGCATTCCAATCACCAGTAATGATCAATACATCTTAATTAATACAAAACATGCAATCAATGTTTAATCAATTTCAGATTGAAGAAGTTGGTAGAATTCTTCTATTTCATCCTCACTGGCTTTACTGGTTGATGCGTAAATTTGAATAATAGTGGTATTAACTGGGCTTCCCTGTAGGTGCTTGGATATTATCCTATCACAGACAGCATTGTACTTCATGACTGGTCATCAGATTCAGAATGGCCATTTCAGGTCACTAATGCCTATGACATTGATGTTTATGCCATCCATTTCATTTTTGACAGCTTCCAATTTTCCCAGATTCATACTTCGTACATCCCATGTTCCGATTTTCAATGGATGTTTACAGCTGTTTCTCTTCATTTTGAGTTGTGCCCCATCAGCAAATGAAAGTCCCACAGGCTTTTCTCCTACGGGCTCTACTCCATTCGTGTCATCATGGTCAACTCTACTTTGAGGGGGCAGCTCTTCCCCAGTTGCATTTTGAATGCCTTCCAGCCTGAGGGGCTTATTTTCCGGCACTATATGAGACAGTGTTTCTCTGCTATTCATAAGGTTTTCAGTGACTTCGGAAGTAGTTCACCACTCCTTCTTCCTAGTCTGTCTTCGTCTGGAAGCTCATCTGAAACCTGTCCACCGTGGGTGACCCTGTTGGTATTTAAAATACCGGTGGTATAGCTTTCAGAATCACAGCAACTCATAGTACGACACTGCCGTACGACAAACTGACAGACGAGTGGTGGGGTGAACAATGGTAGTCTGGAAATGCCCTGTCTGGGTGGGGACCCAGGTGACCCCTTTCCTATGAACATATGGAGAATGGCCCCCTGGTGAGCTGTTCTGGGCAGGGTCTGGAGATCCTGATGGCACAGCTGGCCCCAGACTCTTATTTTCTGGCAGAGTCCTCAGGAAACAACCTATTCTTGGGCACCAAGTTGCAGTGGGGCTGGGGCAGAGAGCAGAGGCACCGTCAAGTCACATGACTGGGCCAGAAAGTGGTCAAAGGTGGGCTTGGCCCCATTGCTGACGTGCTGATGTGTGGTCTCATCACCCCCACCAGGCAGCCTCTCTACATCCAGCATTCTGTCCAACAAGTCCATCTCCAATTCAACGTTGTCAGGTAGGAAGCCCCTTGATGGCTTTGTGTGATGCAGATGTCGGGGAACCCTCCTTTGTGTTGGCGAGGGGTTGGGGTCAAGAAGTTGTAAAAGGAACTGAGTGGCACTGAGGGTCCCTGCACATTGGACTGCCCTGGAGGGACGGGGGAAGCTTTTAGGCAGGAGGCATGTGGGAAGTCGTGGGGCGGGGCGGGGCCAACAGTGGGTGGAGCGGGGCGGTCCGATCCGTGGGCAGGGTGGGTTCGGTCATGGGCAGGGTCCTGTACGCCCTGCCCCTCCAACTCCTGCAGCATGCAAGTTGCCACCTTTTCACCACCTCCCGGGAAAGGGCGCCCCAGCTTTCTACACATCCTGGGAGTAACCTCGCAGGCTGGGCCCTCAGACCTCTCGTTCAGATGCGTTTTGACCTGTCAGGAAACACCTTGTGTAGCAGCCACCTCCCTCTTGCCTCTCTCCCTGCACCTCCGCCCTTCGCAGCCCTGTCCTGCAGTTTCTGCTTAGGCCTCCTCCATGTGAAGGAGGGAGGCACTGCTACTGTCTCTTCTTGCAGAGGAGGCAACAGGCAGAGAGGCAGGCTGTTCTCAGACATGCAGCCAGTCCTGAAACACCTCTGTTGGGTCTGACCTGCAGCCATCTCTCAAGGCAAGGTCAGGACCCAGCCCAACTCCTACAAGAAGCAGGACTCAAAGGCAGATGTCCTTCAGAGGGCATACTTGGAGGAGGAGCCCCCCAGCCCAGGCCTGCTGAACATTGGCAAGCCAGACAGAGCCCTTGGGCTGGAGGCACAGGGCCAGGCCAGGTAAGCCACTGGCACCCAGGGTTCAGGCCCCCTCCTTGGGTTCAGGCCTGGAATGGACATGTGGCTCTCTCCCTACCTACCTGTGTGCCCTGGGGCCAACCAACAGCCAGGTCTACCCATCTCCCTTGCCACCAGGAGGGGGCAGCAGCTCTGAAACCAATTTCTCACCCAGAGTAATCTAGTTTCCAAACTAGTTTGGAAAACAACCTTTGCTCAGAGCAGATTGCAGTGGGTGGAAAACCTTGACCTAGAGGACAGATGGCCCTCTGCCCTGAGATACCCCAGCGTTTCTGAACTGCTCTGAAAAGCAGTGAACTCAGGATTTTGTAATTCAAAAGGGGACCGTGTTGTTCCAGACAGGCTCCAGTTTTTCTGCACACAGCCCTCAGATTTCCCACTAGGCTGGTGGCACACTCCCCAAGCCACATCTAAATTGGAAAGGGAGGGGAGTAGGGGGTAGACCCGGGTCACAGTGGGTCCTGGAGACCCTGGTGGGCTGGTTAAGAGACTATGGATACCACCTGTCCCACACTGGGGCGGTATGGCCCTGGGGCTGCTGCAATGACTGTTTTCAGAGGAGGAGATGCAGAGGCCTGTAGCTCGGGGGCTGCCTCATGGGCAGGCAGCCAGCCCAAGGGCAGGCCAGCAGCCCCCTCTGTGATCCTGCCCCTGCACCTGCGGAAACCCACCACCATGCAGCAATGTGAAGTAGTCATCCGCCAGCTTTGGAATACCAACCTCTTGCAGGCCCAGGAGGTGAGGCCCCAGGCACGGGGTGTGTGTTTGTCTCTTGTTAATGGCCTACCCCCACATCTCTCCTGTTTGCCTTTTAGCTGCAGCATCTCAAGTCCCTGTTGGAGGGGGGCCAGCGGCCCAAGGCTGCCCTTGAGGAGTCTGGCACTAGCTCACCCAAGTGAGTGCCCATTGTCTGCTGCCATTGTTCACTGCTGGGCCTGGCTGTGGCTCATGGCCTGTCTTCTTCCCTAGGGACCAGGAGGCCATGCAGTTCCCCAAGGTGGCCACCAAGGGCCTCTCTAAAAAATGGTGAGTCTCTGACCACCGGCAGGCAAGTGCTCAGCAGCGCTGGCTTGGTCCCTGCACTGAGTCCCCTCTGCCCCCCAGCCTGATCCTGAGCTCTGTGCCAGTGGAGGAGAGGGCCATCCTACCTGCCCTGAAGCAGACCTTGAAAAGCAACTTCGCTGAGCGCCAGAAGCGCTTGCAGGTAGTACAGAGTCGGCGCCTGCACCGCTCTGTACTCTGACTCCATCACTGCTGAGGACCCACACAGCGAGAAACCCGCCCACCACCGGAGAGTGCTGAGAACCCTGAATCTGGAGAGAAAACTCAAAAGTATTTGACTTCAGAGTGGAGAAACCGCTTACTTTCTTGCTTAGCTATTTGACTGTCCCGCCTTGATACAACTGTGACCCAATGGAAAATAAACCTTGTTTCTTTAAAATGCCTTTTTATTCCTCAATCCCTGACATAGCAAGCTGGGCACTTCAATTCTGGCTCTTGCCACCCTTGGCAGACACCTCCCCCACCCCCCACCAGCCTGGAAGCAGGTACTCAGGCTAGTCATTCCACTCTCTGGGAGCCAGGAGTGCTGTGGGGGTCCTGTTTAGGTGGGGTTGCCTTCAGGACATTTTTTTGTAAGAAAATATATTTTATTGCTGTTGTTGAAAATACACCAATTCAACAGTTTCTACAGGTACAGTTTAGTGCCATTGATTACATTCTTTGAGTTGTGCAATCTTTCTCACTCTCCATTTTTGAGTTGTTCCTTCTGTGTTCACATAAATTCAACTGCCCTCTAAGTTTCCTAATTAATCTTTAGAGTTGTTAGCATTTTGATCCCATATAGAGTTTTTTAAAAGAACATCATGATCAAGGAAGATTTTTTTTTTTGCTAGTGAAGCTAAACTATTGCTTAATTTTAAGAAGACTTCAGGGGATATGAGGTTTAAGGATCATCTCAGAACAATGGTTTGGGGTACTCATCCAAACTCCACCACTCCAGAAAGCATGGATTCATGAGAATTTGAAATTCTGTTTTGCATTTTCCCATTTGGTCAGGATTCTTCTATAGAATCTTTGAAAAAATGTTCAGTAATAGCAGCTGGGCACCACATAATTCTTCTGGTGTCAGGGCAAAGGAAGCAGTTGTTCATGGAGGCAATTAGCCACACATCCCACTTCTTCCTATTCCTGACTCTCCTTTTCTGCTCCAGAAACCACTGGCCAACATTTTTTTTGGGGAGGGAGGGGGATTCGTGATGTTATAATGAGCAGTTGCAATCAATAAGACACAAAATCTATAGAAATTTTTGAATGCGATGCTGATCTACTCTGTAAATTCTTACACAATTCACAGTATTTTCTTTCATAATTTCAGATATTTACTCAATAGACAACAATCTGCGTGCACAGGGAACGTACGCTGTGTGTAGATGTAAATTAAATAAAAGTTTTGTGAATTATGTGATAGTTTACATGGGAGAATGTTAGTGTTACATTCATTCTTATTGTATATAATTTCATTGCTATGGTTACGATCCCCTCCATGCCTCATCACCCAACCAAAGGGTATACCCTACAAGCCTGCCCCGGCCCCCTCCCGGTTGTCAGCACACAGCTGCTCTCCCTTTCTGAGACTGTAAGTCCTCAGCCGCTCCATCTCTGGCATCACTGCTTCTCTGGGTAGGGTCCCGCTCTCTGCTCTTCTCCCTTGATGGTCCCAGAGACCTCCGCTCCTAGACTGAAAAGTTAATCATTCCCCTCCTTGCTACAAAATGTCCACCTTTACATTTCCAACCCTGATAACAATTATTCACTATTGTATCACAAGAGATTTATCCACATTTCCTTTCATGAGCCCTGCCTAGACAGACTGGATACTACTCACTGGAGATTCTACCTTCCTCCACGCCCTCCGGATCTAGGTTCCCTCTTGAAAGCTTGTAACCCAGTCACTTCTTGCCTCTGAAGCCTCCCCTCCCCCGCCCATTTTGGGTACCCAATGTCCAAGTTGCCCATCCTTGTCTACTCTGTATTGAGGAGGTGGGAATGATCCTCACTGTAAAGATTTGTTCCCTCTTTTGAGCCACTGCATCCACAGGTGCAGGTCAAGTTCATCAAATTGTATCAGATTACTTTTTTTTTCTCCTCCTCTTCTTCTAGTTGAGCTCTGATCATCCAGTCATTGAAGCCATGTCAAGTGGGTATTATCTGCAAGTGTGGGTGTTCTTATGCATATGCCCTCTCTTCTTATCAGCTGGACACTTCACTCTCCACTCTAGTCCTCTGTGGCTATGTCACTGACTCTGGGCCCAAGAGTCCCCAGGTCTTGCCACAGTGCTTACCAACTGACAGGCCTTCCTTTTGTATCTCCCTGCTCAATGGCTTGTCTAGCTAAGCTCTGCCTATGCTCTCCAAGTACCACTGCCAAGAGTGGCTTGTATGCTCCAGGACCTAGAATTTTCTGAAGCTGGGCGTCTTCCTCACTGGGGCATGATTCGAGCTCATACCTTAACAGCCACCCTCTGGATGGCTGCCCTTTTAGCACTGAACCTACCCTAGTCCCCTCCTCCGTGTCCATTTCCATCTCTCAGGACAGGAGCTCTGCTTGGAGAGCTGGGGCTGCCGGGGCCAGATGGTGTCCCTAGCACTGAGCCGGCTCACAGAGGGAGTACAGAAATGGACTCAGGACCAGCACAAGAGTAATAAATTTATTATATGAATCACAAATGATGTGGTAGCGCACATACAAAAGGTGGACTCCTTTTGTGCTGAGGCCAGTCAACTGATAGCCAGGGGGCATGTAGAATTGGTGTGTGGCTCTGGGGTGGGCCCTGGGAACAGTGACTGCCTGGTTGCAATGTGGTATTGCTCTGTGGTGGGCAGCCGGTCTACTCACACTGCATTCTTCACAACTGGGCCTAGATGCTTTGTCCTAACTTGTGGGCACAGGGACAGGTCCCATTCAGAGGGCCTTGGTGCCCCCTGCTGCTCCAAGTGGTGTGGAGGGGAAGTGCCCAGAAGGGAGGCCAAGTATTTCTTCCAAGGTGGAGCCTACTCACCAAGATGTCCACAGCCCAAAGGTGTTATCTGTCTAAACCTGAAGCTACAAGCAGAGAAGCCTCCATGGAAAGATTTCCTATGTTCTCCATGTCCTGGGACACACTCGCTCTGATGAGACTTGTGCATGGAGTAGATGTGGTGCTGGTGAGGACTGGGTTGTGTATCAGTGAGCACAGGAGGGATGGCACCAGGAGTGATGGGTGAGAGCTGGACTGGACCTCAGTGGACTGCCATCCTTCCCTGGCTTAGTTGGCTCCAAAGCCACCTGTCCAATGACCGTCTGGGTTTGGGACAAGGCCTGGCTGGTCCCAAGGCATAGAAAATAAAAGCAGGAAAAGCTAAACTAACCCAGGCTCTCTAAGGAACCAAGACCCAGAACGTCTAGCACAAGGCTGTGTCACCAGTAATCTTGGTGAGTGGCCAATAGGCCTGGGTGCTGCTATGCAGCTGAGAGACAGGCCTGGTGGACACTCTGTGCCCACGTGTTGAGCAGGGCCGTGACTGAGTGCTTGTCGGGGAGCTGCAGCAGTCGTGAGGTCATACATCGGTGCACTGACTGTAGGAAAGGGTTGGCATCTGCAAGAGAGACGGGACCATGAGCACATTACTCTCTCCCAGTGTCAGCTCACTCTGGGATGTTGACTACACTTTGAGGTGGTGGTGGTGAGGGTGTCTGCCAACAGCAGGCCAGGGCCACGCCAGTAGTGAAACGTGGGATTATGATGTGGCTCTAGAGCCTGGGACTTTTCCTTCAGTACTCCTTGAGAGAGTACTAAATAGAGTCAATTTTGAGCCTGGGGTGACCATATTATCCAGTGGGTCCCCATGAGCCTAAGATCACTCATGTCAGCCCTGCCAAGTCACCATGGCCTCCAGAGCAGGCGGACCTGTCCTTGGGTTGTGCACCTGCATCCCTCATCCAGATAACTCTGTACAGGATAGTGGGACACCCTCTGGGTAGGGTGAATGGGACACACAGGTCCATCCCTGCATGGGAGACTGGTTGTTGGGATCTCCCCACCCGCCCTTGCCCCACACCCACCATACTGCCACTGCTGGTCGACCCAGAGCGGGCTCTGAGCAGGGTAGTCAGCAGGCACGCTGAGCTCCAATGGTGGCACACTCGGGAGGTCCTTGTCATCTGCAACACACAAGACTGTACCTGTGACCAGCCCCTTGCCCTGCCTGCCCCTCGAGGGGCTCTTCCTGTCCCAAGGTCTCCACAGTGGAGGGCCCCTCAAGCCAGCATGTCATCCTGAATTCAGGGCAGGGTCCTGGGAGGGGTGAGGGACCTTGGGGAACGTGTGGCTTATGGAGGTAGGCATCTGTGGGTGGGGGAGGATGAGGTTCCATCCTTACCCAGCTTGCAGACCAGGTGAACCGTGCCACTGTTGCTGCAGTGAGAAGGCTCCAAGTTCACCAGGAACTTGGGGTCTAACCGAGCCACCTCTCCCTGTAGCACATTGGGGATGCTCTGCCGCTCGTCCTCTTCAAACTTGCGTTTCCTGGTGCACACTGTGGGAAGCCTGAGGGGAAGTGCGTGGTGAGCAGAGGCCAGGCTGGGGCCACCACCCACCTCCTCTTCTGCAGGCTGTTTGTCATACGTGATGGGTGGGCCATGGATGGCTGCCATGGGTGGCATGAACGTGCGGTACAGGGAGTGGTTGAAGACAGGAGAGCGGATGTTGGCCAGGACAGCATCCAGGAGTGGCTGGCACAGGTACTGCTGCTTGGTTGGTGGCACCGGGGGCGGTGGGGGTGTGGGCTGAGGAGAAGGCAGATGTGTCAGGCAGCTAGGGCTCACAGCCCCCTAAGAATGTGTTTCAGGTTCCAGGTCTTGAGGTCACAGCCCCAACCCTGTGCCCTCATCAGACCTGACCTAGACTGAGGCCGCCTGCTAGTGTGGCCTATCCGCCTCTCCTGCTCCCGACTGACGACCTCTTACAACTTCAGCTTTGGAGCCTGCTGCCCTGTCCAGGCCCCTGACTCCTAAAGGTGCTCCACTCACCACGGCCATGTCATTCTTGAGCTTCTCCAGGGCGATCTCACATTTCTGCAGTGTTTTCAGGGGGCACCTGTGAGGGAAGCGGGGGAGGGAGTCAGCTAGCAGGTGGCCATGGTACCTCCACAGCAAATGTTCAGCAGGGTACCACACTGACTCCCAGAGCTCCCAAGTCTAGGCAAGGCAGCCTGCCCCTTGTTAAGTGCTACTGAGTCGGTTCCAACCCACAGTGACACTGTATAGGGTTTCTGAGGAGTTGGTGAGCTTGAATTGCGACCTTGCAGTTCAAATGACTGTGCAGTTTGGCGCATTAACCCATAGTGCCACACCAGAACTCAGCCTGTCCCTAGAGCTGAAATTTGGTAAATCAGGTTGGGGGGTGGGGAGGGAAGGAAGGGAAGTTAGCCTGACCTACTCTCATCTAGCCCTCCCCATTGAGCCCTAGCAGTCAACTGAAGATCAGCCCCAGAGGCAATGAAGGTGGTTCTTTGCCTAAGTAGAAAAGGGACAACTATCTAGAAGGGGCACTCAGTTTGAGCCAGGTAACCAAATAGCCCATACCACAATCTGCTGGCCACACTCACAGCAGTCCTGGTCCACCAGGGCAGCCCCCACCCAATTTCTACAGAAGGGGACACAGGCTGGGATAGAGCAGAGACGGGGCCAAGTGTAGAATGTCATGAACCAGGCACGTCCATGAGTTTCAGGGGTTTCATTTCACACTCAACACATTTTGCAGACAAAGGTAACAGAGACTCAAACATTAAGTCACTTGCTCAATTCAGTACGACAGGGCAGAGTTTAAGGTCATACTGAAACCCACCACCCATTCCAAGAACTCACTGCTGTTGAATCCATTTCAACTCACAGTTACCCTAAAGGACAGGGTAGAACTTCCCCCATAGGTTTTCCAAGACTATAAATTTTTAACAGAAGCAGATTGCCTCATCTTTTTCCCAGGGGAGCAGCTAGTTTTTGAATCACTGGTCTTCTGGTGAGCAGCCCAACAGAACCACCAGACCCATTACAGGGATGGGTAAGATGGGGCTAGCTTTCTCTAGTAAGAGCAGAAGTAGGGGACTATGGGGGTCCCAGCAGTGACCCAGAGGTGTGGAGGTGGGTACCAGCCGAGGTATAGTGCAGGTTTTCAAAGGGGGTGGTGCCACAGCCCCAGCAGACAGGGACCAGTGAGCTGCCCTGGCCTCCTCCAAATCCATAGTCAAGTGCCCATCTGTGTCTCCCATCCAGGCTGCACAGCCCCTAGGTACTTTCTGTGACTACAGCAGCCAAGCTCACCGCTTGGAGGGATCTGTCAGGATGTCCAGAAGGCTCTTCATCTTACTCAGGTCCTTTTTTCTGTCTGGGACAGAGAGAGGACATTCAGACCCTGCCCTTGGGGTCTGTGGCCCCCAGCCCCTGCTCAGCCCTGGCCCGCACCTTCGTTCTTGTCGATCTTGTTGATCATGCGTCGCAGAGGCTCAATATACTTGGAAAGCTGCTTCAGCTTGTCCAGGTACTGCTGCTCCTCGGCCTGGCTGGAGCTGGCAGGACTCATGACCGAGCTGGGGTTCACTGCATGGTCACAGCTGTGAGGGGAGGCTGAGGAGCCACCCACCCAGCTCTACAAACACTCTGGGTCACGTGCTCAGCACGGTCCTAACTGACCCACAAACCCTATGTGTTTATGGCCTGACTTACCTGGGGTGTTCAGAGGTCCAGGTGAAGGGACGCTGAAGTTTTGAGGGGTGCGTGCAGTGACTGGGCTCTGGGAAGGCTGAGGTGAGGGGCTGGGCAGGAAGCTGCTGGGGGACGGGGCAGGACCGGAGCTGCAGCAGAGAAGGAAGCTGTGTTGGGGGCTGGCTGAGGGCCATGCATCCCAAGGGTGGGTGGGTGGCACCTGGCCTACCTGACATTGGAGTTGGGCTGGGAGCTGGGCTGGCCAGGCTGTGGAGATGGTTGTGGAGGCGGTGGCATTGACTGGGGGGTGGACACCTGCTGGCCTGGTGATGGTGAGGACAGCATGGGGAGGCCATTCTGGCTGACCTGGGAGTAGAGGGGGCCTCAGTGAGCCTGCACCCACCCCATGTGGCTACCAGGCAGGCTTGCTGTTTCGCCTTCCAGCCCATTCTCTCATAGGCTCACCCACACATTCCCCTACCAATACCCCTCTCTCGAATGCATACCTCATGGGCAGACACGCATACATGCATGTGTGTGTGGCTGCCCGCTGTCATCTACCTACCACTGTCTGAGCAAGGCACAGAAAACCAAATCCCCCCAGGCAACCAACCAATGCACATGCAGTCCTTCCCCATCTGTCCCATTTGAAGGACGCAACCAGGGAAAGCCTGGATGCTTTAAGCGGCCCGTTCTTCCCCATCTGCTGGTGGGTGGGTCCATCTCCCTGCACCCACCCCTCCCTGTGCCCCGACCACAGCCATTCAAGATTGTGACTGAAGGGAGGCAAGGCAGGCTGGAGGGCCCAGTGGCCCTGTCCTGACATCTGGCGACTAGATCGAGTGGAGTGGGGAGAGCTTTTGGCTCACCTCAGGGTTGTGCACATACCCACTGCAGGTGGGCTAACCCTCACCAGCACTCCTAGACTGGAGGGGCGAGGGGGGCCAGACTCTGATTCTAGGTCTACCTCTCCTGGCTCTCAGCCTGGATTCTCTGAATGCTGTCACCTCATCTGAAAAGCCAGGGCTACTCACAGGGGAGTGACATGCACCTAGCCCCATGGACGAGAGCACACTGCCCAGGAGCCAGGAGTAAGTCCATGTGAAATCATGTCTCCCAAGTAAAGGCTAGTGCCCTGAGAGTCAGAGTTGAAGGACAATCCTCACAAGGCTCGCATTCCCCCAACCACCCAGGTTCTGCAGACTTAGGAGATGTGGCCTTGGGGAACAACCTGTGTTCCCTGCCCACTCTGAAGTCCTGGATCTGACTCACTCTTGAATGGGACTGCTCTCTCCCCTCTAAGACCAGGAATGAGAAGGGGACCCCTGGAGACTGGGGTTGGGGAGGGGATGTCTAAGCTCCTCATGACCGACTTTCCGCTCCTGTGCCTCTTTCCCCATTCCACACTGCTTCCTGCTCCCTGCCCTATGGAGCTGAATGGGATGCTGGGGAGAAGCATCCCCCCAGTGGAGGAGGTGTGGATGCCATCCACCATCATGATGTGTCTCGATGGAACCCTCCTGTCAGGCCTGCAATGCAGCCCAGGTGTCCTTTGTGTCTGACTCTGACAGGGACCAGTCCCCCTCATGGCACAGCCTGCCTCAGCTCCCAGCTGTGTTAGGCCACATGCCAGGAAGGCAGAGGGCAAAGCGTCTCATGCTTAGCCAACAAACCCCAGAGGCTGGGAAGTCTTTCTGGCAGTAAACTGCACCTCTCCACCCCCCAGTCAAACAAACTAAGGTTGCCCTTCCATTTCCAAGAAGAGGAACCACAGCGTGCTGGGTACCGAAGCCACCAGGCCCCCACTCCAAGCTAAGACATGCCATAGAGCAACAGCAACAGGATCCGCCTCAGAGCAGACAGCAAAGGTGGAAGGGCCTCTTAGGTCTGTTGAGAGTCACAGGTACAGCACCTATTCTGTACTGCTCCTCCTTTCGGAGGGGCAACCTGCTGGTGCTGCCAGATACACCACCTTTGTCACATTTGGGAGGGGAACACAGGAGCTCAGAGTGGGAAGGGACTCAAGGTCATAAGGTTGTAAGGGAGTGGACTCAATGGGCACACTTTTCATCAACTCCTAGGAGCAAGACTACTCAAGCTACCGCCCAGAGGACCTGCCCAGGGACCCCAGGGACCCCAATGCGCTGAGCAGAGGATTGGCACAAGGAGAGGGACCCAGAAGACAGGAGCATAGAAAACAAGAAGGAAGGCAAGGGTGGGAAGGTGGAACAGGCTAGTGGGATCAAACGCTCTGGTGCTACCAGGACTGACTGCCTGCCTAATTCATCGAAAGCTTCTCTGTACTCTCTCCACTGCCATCCTGATTCCAGCACATTCGCTGTGGCTTCCACTCCAGTCCCCGGGGTCCACCTCCACACTAAGTTACCCCACCATCTAGGGAGTGCAGTAAACTCTCTCACCCCACCCCAGCAGAGTGCTTCCCTGCAATCTTGGCAACTCAGCCCATCCTCATGTCCACCTGAGGCTCCAGGGAGGTCAGCATGTACTAGTGAGCGAGCCTGCCTCCATCTCCCATAGCAGGGCCTGCTCCCAGAGCTGACCAGACTGGGATCTTGCCCACCTCCTTAGTGGCCCAGCCTGCCCTACAGGGAGGGAACTGGGAACCTAGTGTCCACTCTGGAGTAGGCAATGAGAGGCAGCATGGATGGGAGGGTTCTCCCTAAGCACCTGCTCACACTAGGTGAGCTGCAAGGCTTCAGGGTAGGCAGGGCACTACCGGGTGTTAAGGCAGGTGTTGGAAACAGGGACAGGAAATGTGTACTGATCTGGGAAGAGGGTGCATGTGTGTATATGTGTGTGTGCCTGTTGTGTGTGTAGAGTGGATGGAGGCAGAGAATGGAGTTCAGGCCCTAAACTGAATACAGAAAACTTGGCTTGTCTCTCTTTTTATGAGCTGAAATGTTGAGAAATTGTCCCAACAGTTTCCTCTACACATCAAGTAGGAACAGCAATGTTTAAAAACCACTTGTTTTGATGAGCAAGCAACTCTTACCACATCTTGGGAACCATATGATAGCCCCCTCCCTCCATCCCTTCTGTGCCATGTAGTCCTGGTCACATCCACGGGTCTGTAAGAGCCACCACCTCATGAAGGCACAGCCGAGTGACAAGACAAGGGAACTGAGGCTTAATGGAGAGGGGCAAGAGACTTCGGGGGTACAGGGGCAGGGCCCCCATGGGAAGGCAGGGTCAAACTGGGGCTGCGGAGTGATGCTGCACGCAGTGGAGCCCTCCCCTCTTGAATCCCTCTCCACCTGCCACCCTCACCCCCCTCTGCCCCGAACACCGTCAGGGTCTCTTTTCTTCCAGCATCCCTCCCTGCCTCCCCCAGCCTTGGGCAAGCACGAGAGTGAGCCTATTGGAAAATAACCAACCAGGACAAAACCGGAGTCTTGTCTGAGTTCCGTTCCTCTTTCCAGAAGTCCTCTGGCTTCAGTCTCCTGCTGGGACAAGGAGTAGCTCCTAAACACCAGCCCACCTGCCCTACACATATCAACCCTAAGCTTTAAGATGTGTCTAGTCTGAAGGGCGGAAACGAGTGAACAAGCTGCATGCAGGGCGCTGGCCACTTCCAGTGATGCCTGCCACACACTGAGACATTGATGACCAAGATTTTTCATAGGATGTATTTCAGGAACTATTTTGGCATCATCTTACACCTTTTCTATCCTTTCTCTCCACCGCACTCCCTTTGCCTTTAATTCTGGGAGAGAGTTACTACCGGCACAATACCTATTTTGTCAGTACACTGGGGACAGAGGATGTGCAGGTGTCAGGGTGTAGGAAGGAGAGCACGAGAAGTGGACTCGTTGAAGAGAGGTGGGTTTTCCCAGCCTCAGTGAGATACCTGTGAGAAACTCAGTGGTGGTGAGGATGACGGTGGTCAGTACTGGGGGTGTGGGAGCAGGGAAGGACACAGAGGACAAGAGGCTAAGCATTATGGGTGTCAGATGCTATGTGTGTTGAGGTACTGACAAGTGAGAAGGCAAAGGTAGACAGGAGAAGGTAGGAGGTTGTCAACTCTACAGAGAAAGCATTTCTAAAAGAATCCTGGGACTCAAGACCTGGCTACCGAGGCTGAGGTTGGGGACAGAAATGGATGGCCCTGGGAGAGGTTTGGGTGCAACTAACAGAAACGAAACAATTTAGAACTCGCTACAACATCACACTGAAAAAGAAAAACGACAACATTTTGCTTATATCCCCTCAAGAGACAGATACTTGGTTCTTGCTTTGTTCAATGAAGGGAAGGTAATCACGCATCCCTGCAAGCATGGGTGGGGTTGTGGGGTGGAGTGCAGGATGGCAGGGAAGCACCCCTCCACTTTCTGAGGGCATAAGCACATGCTGCCTGCAGAGGAGTGATATGCTGATAGTAAATACCTGAGCTGGGGGCTGTCCGCCCACTGGAAGGGAGCCAGGTGGTGTGGCCGACACAGCAGAATTGGGCGGGAACCGGGCTCTCACTTGCATACCGCCTTGGACCATGGTTGCAGTGATCATCTTTGGGGACAGAGGGACACAGACAAAGTCACGCAACACAGAAACACAGCGCACAGGCAGGGGTGATGCAGCGTGTGCTGTACTTCTGAGAGCTGGCACCTATGGCAAGTGGCCTCTGATGGTGGTGGGACGTGAGGGAGTGGGGAGAGACAGTGAGGTGCACTCTGACGTGTCCAAACGCTCAGAATCCTGAAGCCTGCCTTGTGACATCAGGGATCTAGAAGAGTTAAGGAATGCTGCTGCCTCCAGGCTGCTGTAGGGTTGTGCACCTTCCAGTGGCATCCCACACCTCTGATCTGGTGAGCCTGGGGGACTATCAAGAGAATCAAGGACCAGGGGTAGGGTTGGTGGGAAATAGTTCTCTGTGACCCCTGCCAACAGCCTCTCCAGAGCTATTTCCTTTCCATAGTGATCATCTCTATGACCTGCACTCAGCCTGTCCCCTCACTCCCTCTAGGCCGCCCTGAGAATATACTGGAATATACTGAAGAAAATCCCAACTCCATTACCATGGAGTCTATTCCAACTCATAGCAGCCCTGTAAAACAGAGAGAAACTGCTCCCTAGGGTTTCCAAGGCTGTACATCTTCATTGGAGTAGATTTTCATCTTTCTCTCGAGGAGAGGCTGGTAGCTTGCAGTTAGCAGCCCAACATCTGAAAGAGTTCATTTCATATCAAACCAAGGAGAGGTTGAAGGGTTGCTGTAGCAGAACTGTCTGGGGGAAGTGGAATGGGGTTTGTCTGGAAACTCCCAAACAACAGGCTATTTCTGAGACGCACCAGAGGATGGCAGGTCCCTGAATGCATGGAGGGTAGACACTATGCCCTGGATGGTTAGCCAGGCACAGTTTGAGTCCTCTGTGGCCCCACCACCCACACCTAGGTCCTGCAGCAGTATCCTCAGGGCTTGACATAGATCAGTCCAGGAAACAAGTCAGTCCCTGTCCTATCCAGAGGCCCTGTGCCCTGATGGTGTGGCTGGACACAGTTCTCCCAATCTTGCCCACAGCAGCATGGTGGTGGTGTGAGGAGAAGGGGTGAGGGCACTAGAGCAATGATGTCAGCACATTAACAATTGGCCAGCTGCCCCCAGTGGAGGCCACCTGAGGTGGTGGCGGCAGCGGCAGAGGCCCTGAAGGAAGGCAGGTGGATAAGAGAGGCACACACTTTTTTTCTCATGAAGAAAATTTGTATCATGGGAAAAGCTCAAAGTGAATTTGCTACTGGCAATTTCTCTTACAACCGAGAAATCCTAACAAGACAAACCTATTTGAAAGAGCTGCAGTGAAAACCGCAGTGTTCATGCTTACTAAGCTGGCTGTGAGGGCCACTAACCAATGGAACCTCTTTCTGTCTAACTTGCACACATGTGTCTACTGGCAAAGCTCAGTGCATGAGCCCATCAGTCAAGAGTCTGCTCCTGAGCAGTGAGGGCTGCTGGCTTGGGAGGTGTTTCCCTAGGCCCATCCAAAGGCCCCTGGAGAGCGCTGTCCCGTCTGCATGTGAAGACAGTTCTTTGTGTCGCTGTTTCTCAGTGTTACCAAGAAAACTAAAAACAAAACACAGTGTCATTCATTCCTTTCTGCTATCCCCTGTGAGTGCGGACAGAGACAAGCCACTGCAGTTTCACACGTCACGTCATCATTATCCTCAGTTACCTGGGGAACATCAGTCATACACATATAGTGCAGGGTGGATGAAGTTCCCGGGGGCACAAGGGGACCCTCTAACATGATCCAAGAAGGTGACTGTTGACATGGAAACACAAGGCCACTGGAGCACCCCAAACCCAGACTTTCTTGGCTGAAATAAGCAGCCTGTTCAGCAGGCTTCCTGTGGCAGCTCAGTCGTGTCTGAGGGAGTTTCAGGCGGTCACTGGACAGATATCTGTCGTGGACACCACATGGGAAGCTCTGTGCTTCTGGACCCTGGTTAAACAAACTGGTTCTACACATGTAAACTGTGTGACCCAGTAACCTACTTCAGGAGACAACTCAGCAGTCAGCCAACATAGGCACCAAAGTGCCACGTCTAGCAGTTAAACCTCAAGATCCTAGAACAAGACAGTAATGAGAGACAGTGGGAAGCATTATTGGCAGCAAAATCACCCCACCATTCAAGCACTGTTTACCAACCGTTCGTAATTCATGAGAACATTCTAGTTTCATGTGTGTAAAAAACAAGCCAGATAAAAGATCTGATGATCTGCTCCCAGAAAGAGCACAGCCTTGGAAACCCTATGGAGCAGCATACAACATGGCCCCCATCACTTCTTTATATGGCTCTCAACTTTCTAACCTGACAGAGTCACTACGTACGAACATCTGAATCAGAGCACCTGTTCCCCCATCTTGTCCACTGCACCAACCCAGTTCTCTAGACAAGGCTGGGAATCTGAAGATTCGGTCACTCCTGGGAACCCTGCTGTTGCTAGACCACTAACGAGAAGTTGGACACCATGAAGCTGTACTGGCTGTGAAGACCAGATCATATGCAGCAGATAGACCGACAAAACAAAGGTCAATAGGACACAACTGGACAGTACACTCACACTGGGTGAGTGCTGTCCCTGCCTCCCACTGGACGTGGTATGACCACCACGTATCACTCTGTACAGCTCTGAACATGCACCAGCTCCTCTTAGGACCTGATAGGAGGACCAAGTCAGGAGGCTGAGGACACGAGTGGTGGTCAGGTGAGAGACACTTGCTTGAACAAAGCTGGTAGTGACAGAGACAGACTCCAACTTTTGCAAATAGGGCCGAGGCCTCCCTCCCCCCTATAAACATGGAGCGTGTGGTGCAGATCATATAAGAGGGCAAGGTCACAGAGGACCTGGGGCCCAGGTTACTTATCCTAGTGATGATGGATGCTGCTGGGTAGACTCAGTGGCACCTAGCCCCTTCCGAGTCTCCTAATGGGCACTGTCAGCCTTTGACAGCTGTCAGGGACATGGACAACACAGCCGGGACTGGAAGGGCAGTTACTGACCCCCATTCTCCCTAGGAATTGTTATCTGACATTGAATGAGAACACACCACTTCCTGGATGCACCAATCTGCTTGCTGACCCTGAAGCGGACTAGTGCAGTGAATGAGTCAGGGGCGAAGGGACTCCACGGACACTGCCAGGAATCATCTCATCATCTCAGGGAGCATGGCCTGACTCAGAAAACCAACCCTCTGCTTCTGAACTGGGACTGGCAGTGCTTCTAGCACTGGGTACAGACTGGAAGAGTGAGGCTGGGCTACATTCTCCTCACTGCAAGTACCAGGGTGATAGGGGCACTCCGGGAAACCCCAGGCCTTGCCTGACTCTCCACCCTCTAGACAGGAATGGGGACTGTGCTCCTCACAGAAGTCCCAATTCTGTCCCATCAGTGCCTGACAGGACCTGGAGGGGCTGGCACATGTCTCCTCACCCCACAAAGTACACGTGGCATATGGCAGCCACGTCCAGTGTTGAGGGCGAGCTGCCGGCTAAGAGGGAAGGACGAAGGCAGAGGAACACTGGCTACTACAGTACAAAGGGGAGGATGGCCACTGGTCCCCTGCGTGGTGCCTCTGGGCCACTCAGTCTCCAGGAGCCACTGCTGCTATTGGTCTTTCCACACTGTCTAAAGCCCTGACTTCTGCTTGGGTCAGGGTGAACCTGCAGCGCTTCTTTCTCAGATACATGTTCTATAACTCAGTGGGGGAGTAGAAGGGGAGTTGGAGAAAGAAGGTACAGGAAGGAGTAAACAGAGGAGACACTGAGGATGATGTTGAGGTTGTGGTTCCAGGGCCCCAGTTCAGCTCCAGAGGGAGCTCTTGCCTTGCAGAACACATGACAAGGGCCCACCTACAGCAACAGATTCCAACTCATATCAACCCTGAAGGACAGAGTAGAATGGCTCCTAGGGTTTCCAAGACTAAATCTTTATGGGAGCAGAAAGCCTCACCTCACTCCCATGGAGCAAAACTGGTGGGCTAAAACTGCCGATCTTTTGGTTAGCAGCCCAAAGCTTACTGCTAAGCTAGCAGGACTCCTTCAGGTGGGGAAAGGAGATTCAAAATCCAACAAAGACCCCTAAGCTGCAGGACCACCTGCAATCCTTCGCCATGTGTGAGTGGATGTGTACCTGCTGGGGACTAAGGAAACCCCGTGACCCCAGGGCTCTCACCTGGACTCCAGAAGCAACCATCTGGGCCGCCTGAGGTGTCTGAACTGTGGTCTGCGGCTGCACCTGCGGCTGCACCTGCGGCTGCTGCACACCCATTGGTGCTCGGACCTTGAGCAGGGCAAAGGACTCAATGAGGAGCCACTCTGGGCAGAGCACCCAGTTTCTACACAAGTGTCTCCTGAGATGGAGTGAGGCAGGATTCTCATGATATCACTGCTACAATGATGTTTCCTCCGTCCTGAAGCCCAGACTCTTACCAGAATGTTCCACCTGCGCCTCCCTGAGATGGCCCAGCAGCATCGCTCCCCATTTTGGTGAGAAGCTGCACTGCTTCCACTGGGACAGCTGTATGCACACACCACCATCGGTGACCACTGCAAGTAGTAACTGCTTCCCTTGCAGACTGCACGGTACAGCTTTGCTCGGCTCTAGACTAGCATGCTGACGGCCACAAATGCCTGTGCTGAACCCTGGACTCCTCAAAGGAGGCCCAACCAGGAAAGCACAGGCCATGGAGTCTGGGGACAAGCTGAGCAGTTGTAGAACCACTGGAAAGGAAGGTCCCCAGACCCAACTGCAGCAGAGAGCCTGGGGCTCAGGATTAGCAGGTGACCATGGTGTGGCAGGACCTTTACTTCCTGACTTTTTTTAGCCTGCCTGCGAGAGACTTCCAACTATCCTACCACTATGTCCACATCTGTTCCATTCTATGAATGGCCAACATGGAAGGTCACAAAAACCAAGAAGTGAACCAAAAAGAAGATCCAAGTGGTCCCTCTCAGCCTGGCTACTCCCGTCCTGGTGGCTGTTCTGTTGGTTGTGTGTCACTGCTGGGATCTGCTGTATACAGAGATACTAAATGAGATGGATAACAGTATGAAAGCTTCAAAAAGTTCATGGAAAAATGAAATAAAGGGATAAGAGAATTTTCCCACCACCTTTCTGAAGCCCTTCTATATTGTATATAATAAAAACCACAGGCAGTTGTTAAGTGCCGTCGAGTTGGTTCTGACCATAGCCACTCTGTATAGGGTTTCCTAGGAGTGGCTGGTGAGCTTGAACTGCTGACCACGTGGTTCAAACCGACTTTGAAGTCCAGCGCATTAACTCACAGTGCCACAAAAACAAAAACAGTTACTGTTCACTGACTCAGTGACCCTGAGTGTGTCAGAGCTGAACTGTGTTTCACAGTGTTTTCAGGGCTGATTTTTCATAAGTAGACCACTAGGCCTTTTTGCTGAGGTATCTTGGGGGCGATTTGAACTGTCAACCTTTTGGTTAGCAGACGACTACATGTTTGCCTTTGTACTACCTGGGAACTCCAATTTATACAAGGGGTTTAAAAAAGTTTGTGGAAAAATTCCATCATTTTTCAATTTCATTTTCCCACCAACTTTTTGATGTTTCCTTGATAACGCCTTCCTTGGGTCTAACAGAGTTGTGCTCGGCTGTAACTGTGCAAACCACTGTGCACAACCAGCAGAGGGAGCACATCTCCTTCCAAAAAAAAAGAAAATCTGTGGAGACTTGACTTGTGAATCAAATCACTTAAGATCTCCAGATCCCCTGGTCAGCACTGAGGTTGTTCACAGGGGTCCGGGAAGCAGTGAGTGGTTCCCATGTAGGGTGAGCTGCAGCAGTGTTTGGGGTGCTATGTACTCTGCCAGGCATGTGCTGGGGTCGGCCTCAGGGTGACATGGCAAAGGCCTGCCTGAGTTTCAAGTGGAAGTCCTTAGGAACAGCTGCCAGCTGGGCTGCTGCTCATGTGCATCTCCACACCACAGTAGCAGAGCCTGCCACCTGCTGTGGCTACTCACCAGTTTCAGCTGCTGCTGTGCGTACAGCATCTGTCCTGGCAGGGCTGATGCCTGGGATGCCAGGGACTGGGTCTGTGGTGGCAGCTGCAGTGGTTGATTCTGAGCAACTGGTGGCTGCTGGGGTGGTGGTGGCTGGTGGTGTTGTGGGTGATGCATTTGTTGCAGTTGCTGTGGCAGCTGCTGGGTGGGTGGGGGCTGCGGCTGCTGCATTGGTGACTGCTGCATCTGCGGCTGGGCCTGCAGGGCCTGTTGCTGCTGCTGCTGCTGCTGCTGCTGCTGCAGCTGTAGCTGTGCCATGCGCTGTAGCTGCTGTTGCTGCTGCTGTATCTAGGGACAGAACAAGTCACATTTGTTCAGGTGCCCTGCGCTGGCTGGGTTCTTAGGAAGCCCAGATGGGCACTGGCACAACCTGTGGTGAAGCTTGCCTAGACCCACCTTTCAAATGGGGAGGGGACCAGGGCTCCAGGCTGATGCTGCAGACACACAGTGTGCTCCTGTGCTCTGTCAACCGGAGCCCCTCCACCTCTGGGCCTGGGGAGCATGAAAGAAGGAAAAAGGAAGGGATCTAGAGAGTGAAGGGTAGGGTACGAGAGAACAGGTGGAGCCCCAGAAACAAGGACAAGAGCAGGGTTAACTGCAGATGTCTGAAGACTTCTCCAGCAACGTTTGCTCTGTGCCTCAAGAGGTCAGCAATACAGGCCTTATGAAGACGGCTACTGTCTGCTTTCAGAAAGTGAAGGGAAGGTGGGGGCTGAAGGTTTGTCAGTTCTGGGAGCAAGTCTCCAAGACCTACAGGAGGGCGGAGATTGGGGAGGGGGAATCAGCCAGTCAAGGCCTGGGTTGGGCCAGGGATGGAGAGGTCCCCATGACTTGACCATAGCAGCTGAACATGTCTGTATTGTGGCTACAGACCATGAAAAAGAGAAGACTGGCTCATACAAGCAATAGTGTCTGATGTGACATGCCATTCCCTACAAAACACCAGCTGGGAGTTGATTATGCCCACAATGAGAGCAGGAAACACGCAAAGACCTCAAAAGAAATAGGGCAAGCATACTGCATCTTGGAATGTTCTTCTCCAGTTTTGCTTTGGCTAGCTCTTCTGTGAGTCACTTCTACCCAGAAGCCTCCTCTGATCGAGCACCTGGCAGACACACACCAGACACACTGAACCCAACGGAGTCCCTCCTCTACACCCTGCTCACATGTTTCAGGGAACCTACACATTGAGGCAGTGTGTGCACCGGGCAGGAGGAAGGCTGCTGAGTGTGGGTGGAGGGAGCCTGGTACCTGTTGCTGGTTCTGATGATGCAGTTTGATCAGGTGCTGCTGCTGCTGCTGCTGCTGCTGGAGCTGTTGCTGCTGCTGTTGCACCACAGCCTGGAATTGCTGCTGCATGGCGTTCTGCTGTGCCTGGAACTGTTGTTGTTGCTGTTGCTGGAGCGCTGCCTGCTGCTGCTGGAACTGTTGTTGCTGCTGCTGCTGCTGCAGCGCCACCTGCTGGAGCTGCAGTTGAGCTGGAGATGAGAGCCCAAGTCAGGCACAGGGCCCCAGAGAGCAGCTCAGCAATGGGCAAAGGTCCACGGCCACTGTTGCTGTGTAGGCAGGTAGGGCATTCAGACAGAGCTGCCTGTCTGACGCTGGGCCATGTGCTACACTCACTAGTGTGAACACATCAGTTACTACACAGACAGAGACGACAGGAAGTAGCATTTGTTTTGGTTATGGGACTTACTACCACGCATTACTCTTGAATAACCAACAAGAGAACACAATAAACTTAGTGATCTGGGATGGACAAGAGGCCTGGCTCTAGGTTACAGGTTTCCCAGTTCTGGACATTTGGTATGAATGGAATCATATAACATATGGCCCTTGGTAAATGGCTGCTTTTATTCAGCATATCACCTGCAATGTTCATCTTTATTGCAGCAATGGATAAGCATTTCATTCCTTTTAACTGCCTAATTCTAGTACATTCTACTATGTATATACTACAATCTGATGAACACTTGGGTCATTTCCATTTTTTTGGCTATTATTGAAACACTATACAGTCATGTGTGGTGAGGTTTATTTTCGGGGTGATGAAATGTTCTAGAATTGATTGTGATGAAGACTGTACAGCACTGTAAGTGTACTAAACACCATAGACAATGCTCTTTAAATGTGTGACTTGGATGGTATATGAACTTTCTCGATAAAGCTGTTTAAATAGCCAAAACAATCTTAAAAAAGAAGAACTGGGTAGAGCCAAAGTATGACCTTGAATATACTTGCTGAATTTAGAGATAATCTCAAGACTAGGTTTGAGGGGATAAGATTCTCATGATTCAACAATAATTGCTATCATGACTAACTGCAATTGTCACAATTGTAAAGGTAGAAGTTTTGTAATATAAAGGAGGGAGCAGTTAATTCAACGTTCCAGGAACAGAGGACCCTAGGACCATCAAGGGAGAAGAACCTGAGCAGAATGTGGGACCCTAACCATAGAAGCAGTGACACCAGAGATGGAGGCAGAGATGATGGCATGGATAGACAGAACATCTGAGGACTCTAGACTCATGAAAAGAGAAAGGCTGTGTGTTGGTGGCCAGGATTGTAGAATGTGCTCTTAGGTTATTTAAATGATTATACACTCCTTAGTGTTGTTGGGTTGGGTTTTTTGTAT